CGCGGTGCAGCCAGAACGAAGCAGCCACCCGCGCGCCAGCATCCGCCAGGCGACGAAGCATCCGCCAGCATCCGCCATGGAACCCGTCGGGGCCAGCCCGAAGGAACCTCGGGCAGCTCAGGGGGTCTGGTTGCCGCGGGCGTGCGAAATCCTGAACGAGGGGTTCGGGCAAGGCCGAACGGCCTTGCAGTCCCCGGGTGCGTGGCTGCAGTGGGTTTCCGCGGTCCGGATGATCTTTGACCTTTCACTTCTGAAGAATGAACGTGGTTGATCGTCGCCCCCCACCCGCCGGCAGGCAGAAGGTTTAGATGTTGTTCCAATTGCAGTGCCCCCCCTCGACGCTCGCACCCTGTTCTTGATCACGGAACGTCCTAAGGCTCAAACTGCACCCCTCGCCACCCAAACTACACAAACATCGGCTCTCGACCAAACTTCCTCACAGCTTATTCAGGAACCTCGCTCACTCTCGAAACTTTCGCACCATTTACTTAAGACCCGCGCTCTCGCCTGGGAATCCCTCGCATTTCACTCAAGCGCCGCGCTCTCGCTGCTCAAGAGTCGTGCTCTCGCTCACGACTCCCTCGCAACTTGCTCAGGGATCATGGTGGCCGTCAGCTCTGGCACCGCGGCTCCGCCCGGTGCCCCCCGAGGGAGCAAGGCCATGGCCCACGGACCAGCTGCGGGGCGTCATAGGGGAACCCGCCGCTCTGGCTGGCCCTCGGAGATCCGCTGTGGCCCCGCACGCGGGCACGTACACGGACTGGTTGAGGTACTTGGGTGGATCGAGTGGAGCTCCCTCGCAACGTCGATGACGAGGCCACGGCGCCTGGCGCTGGCGACGCGCCACCGGGCGTCCGAGCTGCCCGTGCCGCGGCGGCGCCATCGCACGGGATTGGCTCACGGCTCCGCACCCGGCGGGTATCTAAGCGTTCTGCAGCTGGTGGGCCTGGAGAGCACCGAGGCGGTCGGCGGGGATCCGACTAATCGATCCAGCGCGCACACCCAAAGAGCATTCCACACCAATGCCGTTGCGGTTGCTATCTTCTTGTCTGTACAGCCTTTGTCACTATAGCTTCGCCGCGCTCTGACGGCAAGCCGCTCCAGCTCAAAGTGCGTCAGGTGCGTGCTTGGGGCAAATCTGCGCACAAGGGGCGCACGCTGTCGGAACCAAGCGCACGCGTGCGTGTCCAAATCAGTGGCATATTCTCCTCTTCACCCCATCCCTTCCCTCCGCTCGTCCGCCGTCGCGGGCTCTCTCTGCCCACCCTGGTTTTCGCCGCCGGCCTCACCAGCTGCTCACGCCACCTCCTCTTCCTCAGCCGTGGGGCGGGGCGCCAACCCGACGAGAGGCCAGGTGGACGCGGCGCCTCAGGCCCGCCTCCTGTCCGAGCAAGATAGGGGGGAAACAAACCTACCTCGCTTTTGACCACCCTCGCTTCCAAGAGATACCGAACGATACCAAATTGCAGCCTGTACTGGTCAGGCCGCTTGACGAGGAGGCGCATGGTATGGCTTGGTTTTGCCTGGAAGCGAAAGCGGGGTAGGTAATTCACGCTCTGGCAAGAAGAAGCACGCCCTGCCATGCTTGGTCGCTCGGACAGCGGGCGCGCGGCGCAGCCGCCGCCGCCCGGCTGCGGTGCTCGCTCGGCAAGGGCACCTTCGGGCAGCTGCGCGATCCGCCGCGCCGCCCGGCGGGCGAAAAAACCGCTGGGCCCCGCCCTCGGCGCGGAGCAAGCCGCCCGAGAGCAATGCCGCCCGACACCGCGCCGGCAGGCGCTCCCGCCACGCGGGGCACGCCGTGCACGGCGACGGCGCGCTGGCGCTGAGGTTTGTCGAGCGAGCGCGCCGCCGCGGCTCCAGAGCGCAGCGTGCAGCCAGGGCGTGCGCCGCGCCGGCCTTCCTAGATGCGGGGGAGGGTGGACGGGAGGAGCAGGAGGAGGCGACAAAGGGGGAGGAGTGGAGGGAAAGCAGGAGGAGGAGGCGACGTAGGAGGAGGAGGAGACGGAGGAGGACGAGGAGGAGGAAGAAGAGCACGGTGAGGGTGACGACGACGATGAGTACGATACGGATGAGATGAGGGCGGCGGGGACGACGAGGAAGAGGCAGAGAGGGACATCGACAACAACAACAACAACAACAACAACAACAACAACAACAACAACAACAACAACAACAACAGCAATCATTTTACCCGAACGCTCAGTGTTCTCCCCAGTGCCAGGGTTTTCATGCGACGCCAGCCAATACCCCCACTTCGTGGGGGGGCAATGCAAGCTCTACCAAACATCCACACGACTCTCGGGAACCACCCACACCCAGCTTCCCGCCCTATGACGTCAGGACACTTCACTTCGTGGCGCGCGGACGATCGTGGATACTACACTGGCGTGGAGTACACACCCGCAGAGGTTGATCACTTGTTTGGGCCCCGCATGTGCCCCGCATGGTGCATTTGTTGCGTATGACATACATAGTACAGAGAGACAGAGAGAGAGAGAGAGAGAGAGAGAGAGAGCAAGACAGAGAGCCAGTGGAGAGAGAGATAGAAAGAGATTCGTCACATGTGTCATTTTTTGCAAGGGATGGTGGCCCTCGTAGGCTCGCAACCGTTGTTGCAGAAGGTCGAAGCACCTGAAAAGGTTCCTCGCAAAGGCCCTTTTAACAGAAATGTTTAAAATCTGGTGGGTTTCCTAGGAATCCGCAAGAGCGCGCGGAAGGACATTTTGACAATTTTTTCTGAGAAAACCATTGGGTTTTTGATGTTTTTATGTTAAAATCGTTACGAAACCTAAGGTTTTGGAAGGATTTCGTCTTGCGCGCACGAATGTCCACTTTACCTTATTTTTTGCAAGGGATTCTTGCAATTTGATCAAGTAAAAACAAGAATTTTCATTTTCTATTGTTTTTTGCAAGGGAAAACGAGCGTCAACAAAAAACCGGATCCGGAGCTCATCCACTTTTCTGAAGCTTTCGCGAAAAAATAATGAAAATGTAGCTGCGGCCTAGGCGCGGCGCAGAGGTCGCGCACCAGGGGTCCCAACAATAATAATTCTTTAGAAGGAATAATGTTCAACAACAACAACAACAACAATAATAACAACAACAACGACGACAACAACAGCAACAACAACAATCATTTGAGACTGTTCGCTCCTATCTGCTCACGTGTCAGTCAACACGTACTTCCCAAACCCTCGGTACCCGCCCTCGTCGTCTTCAATCGTACCCCCTTGGGGATATATCGTCCTTACCTGCCACGTGCATGTAGTGCATCCTCTAAATCAAAGGAAGAGAAAACGGGTGGAAAGGCGAGGGAGAAGAATGGAGCGCAAGAGAAATCAGCTGGAGGGGGGCAAGGAGCAGAAAAGAAGTGGTAGAACCAGACGGGCAGATCGGGTGGGCAGACCCAAAGCGGCCAGGTAGGGAAGGCCGGCCCACGCGACCAGGTCCAGCAGGCGGATTGCTGAAGCGTGGGTCCTGCATGGATCGCGAGGAAGTATCGAGCGATAGCGCGATTCCCAAGTAAAACGTGAGACAAGCCAAAGCGAGAGCGTGATTCCTGAGCGCCGAGGGCGCATCGTTTGAATAAACTGCGAGGAAGTCTCACGCGAGAGCGCGATTCGTATACACATTGTGATGAAGTCCCTCGCGAGAGCGCGATTCGGGAATAAATTGAGGAAGTATCAGGCGGGAGCCGTTGTTGTCGCTGTTGTTGTTGTAAACTGGGGGCCAACAACACGGTTGGAGCCCCGTGACTTCCCCTGATAGAAAACAGGGTGCGAGCCCCAGGGGGCAGCACTTCAATTGAAAACATACAATGGTCACCAGAGGGGGGGATCAACAATACCTATTCTTCAGTAGTGAAAATTCAACAACAACAACAACAACAACAACAACAACAACAACAACAACAACAACAACAACAACAACAACAACAACAACAACAATTACTAGCACGTGGGGACACTCCGTTCTCACCAGTGCCAGGGTTTTCATAGGAGGCGGGCAATACCCCCACTTTGTGGGGGGGCCGGTTCAAGCTCTACCAAATTTCCAAACGACTCTTCGCCACCACCCACACCCAGCTTCCCGCCCTATGACGTTCGGACACTTCACTTCGTGGCATGCGGACGACCGTGGCTACTATTCAGGGCCCCGCGGCCGACGACGACGGCGTGCGCGCGCGAAGAAAAAACGAATGTGTCCCGCATGGTATTATTTGACAGGGATGATGGCCCTGGCAGGTGCGCAACCGTTGTTGCAGAAGTTCGAAAAAGTTGCTCGCAAAAGCCCGTTTGACAGAAATGATTAAAAAGTGTTGGGTTTCCTACGAATCCGCAAGAGCGCGCGGGATGAAATTTTGACATTTTTTTTGAAAAACCATTGTTTTTTGATGTTTTTATGTTAAAATCGCTACGAAAACTAAGGTTTTGGAAGGATTTCGTCTTGCGCGCGCGAATGTCCACTTTACCTTATTTTTTGCAAGGGATTCTTGAAGTTTGGTTATGTTAGAACAAGAAATGTCCACTTTAGCTTATTTTTTGCAAGGGAAAACCGATCGTAACAACACAACCGGATCCGGACCAACCCGTTTTGCCTGAGACTTCCTCACGAAAATGATGAAAATGAGGCTGCGGCCTAGGCGCGGCGGGGGGGTCGTGCACCAGGGGTCCCAACAATAATTATTCTTTAGAAGTAATAATGTTCAACATCAACAACAACAACAACAACAACAACAACAACAACAACAACATCAACAACATGAACAACAACAACAACACCACCACCACCAACAACAACAACAATATCAACAGCAACGACAACAGCAGTAACACCAACATCAACACCAGCAACAATAACACCACCAACAACAAGAGCAACAACAACAGCAACAGCAACATCAACCACAATAGCAACAGCAACAGCAACAGCAACACCACCACCACCACCACCAACAACAACAACAACAACAACAACAACAACAACACCAGAGAGGGCTCCTGCCAGCGAGCTTCGCTGCCTCAATGTACGACCGCCCCACGGCGATCGACAAGAGGCACGTTCCGCCCTCCTGCGGAGACGGATGAAGCGATCACCCAAGGACACGGGACACTACAGTGCGGGCGCGGCCGCAAGAAACCCTCGCAGGAAACCCAACCCTGACAACCGCGCGCGAGGTGCAACTGAAGGGAAACCTCGAGCACCCTGAACACAGCAACTGCTTTGACGGCCGCGGGAAGTCACCACGCCGCGCGCGGAGCGAAGCAACCAAGGGTCCCTTGACGAGAAGCAGGTGGTTTCTTGACGCGCGCCCCCACTGTAAATACCACCCAGGGAAAGACTTATACTTCCACGACTGAAAGCTGTGGATAAGTTTCGGCCTCCTGAGGGCCCTGTCTGGGCCTGGGACAGACAAACAACGACTCAGGATGAAACCCTTGTCCCTCGGAAGTGGTCCAGACCTCCAGGGGTCCACGCTGTGAGCGAACCAAAGACGTCGGAGGTTCGGGAGGAGGGAGAAGGAGAATGAGGAGAAAGAGGAAGATGAGGAGCAGAAGGAGGAGGATGATGAAGAGGGTGTGGCGGAGGAGGAGGGATGACGCAGGAAGAAAAAAAACAGCCCCAGGGAAGTGGTCCAGACCTCTGGTGGCCCACGCTGTGAGCAAAACCAAGACGTCGGAAACACGCGACCACTTCCAGGCTTCTGCGTGCCCATTCTTCTGCCCACGGTCATGTTCGGTGGCAATTCATGGGGACCTCCCATACCATCTTTCGGGGATGGACAGAATCCCTGTGGTAAAACGTGATTTAGTGAAAACGACCTCAAGCACAAACCTGGGAGGCGCAAGCATGGAAAATTACGGCCCGCCGCCCTCTCGACACCAGGAAACGGACAATTCACGAATCGACGTGTCAGGGTGGGGCTTCTGTCCACCCCCGAATCTTCTTGGCTCTTGCGAATCGACCCTAATCGACGCCAGTCGGCGCTCCATCGCCGCCATCTCATCAATTACCAAACGCTACTCGACGCTCGTGCACCCTGACGGACTTCCAAGGGTATTCCAAAATCCCATGATTTGCAACCGAAGACATGGACACCAAGCGTACGGTCTGGAACTTTTGCTTGGCGTGTCACCGCGGCGGTCCTGGCGACACGCTATGCCTTGCAAGCGGATGGCGTGTCGCTCCACTCCGCGGAGCGGGGGAATCGGAAAGGCTCGGCATGCTGACGCCAGTGGGCTGGGATGTGGATACTGTGTCGCCCCGCAGCGTGGTGGCCAGAACTGGCGGAACGACACACAAAACCAAAATTCTTGACCGTATGCCGACATCAAACTCTGAAGGGGTTTGCCGTCACTGCCGCTGGCTCCCGCCAGGGAAGAGGAGTAGGAATCAACCCTTTGACTTCTCGAACTCTTTGAAATGGCTCTATTGCTCCCAGCTAGGTGGGGCGCCGACACCTGAAACAAAGCACTGGTGGTGGATTGAACCCCGCGTCGGCTATACTGAGACCTGGTGAGATTGAGACCCCCCGGAGGTCTGTCGGGCGGGTGGCAATGGTGGGTGACTTCAATGGTGGGGTGAAGAAGAGGGCCCTGCTCTTCACCCTTTATCGAAATCACCTACCATTACCTACCATTGCCACCCGCCCGACAAACCTCTAAGGTTCCACGTTGTACAAAAATCACCACGCCGGAGGTTTGGGACGAGGGAGGCGCAACAGGAGAAGACGGATGAGGCGCAGAAGGAGGATAAGGAGGATGAGGCACAGAAGGAGGGTGAGGCGGAGGAGGGCGAGGCGGAGGAGGAGGAGGAGGAGGACGAGGAGGAGGAAGAGGAGGGGGACCACTTCCCTGAAAGACTGGCTGTTCATCCTCAATCGTTGTTTGACGGCACTTGGGCTCGGTGAGAACCCCAGAAAGCCGAAAACGACCCCAAGACCTTCTGTATTGCTTTTCTCCATGACACGAACTAGTCTGCGTTACTCCTCCTCCTCCTCCTCCTCCTCCTCCTCCTCCTGCTCCTCCTCCTCCTCCCCCTCCTCCTCGTCCCCCCCCCCCTCCTCCCCTCCTCTCCCCCTCCTCCCCTCCTCCTTCCTCCTCCTCCTCCTCCTCCTCCTCCTCCTCCTCCTCCTCCTCCTCCTCCTCCTCCTCCTCCTCCTCCTCCTCCTCCTCCTCCTCCTCCTCCCCCCCCTCCTTCTCCTGAAAGATGGAAACATTATTGTGCCTGGGCTCGGCTTGAGGCGCAAGCGCTGCGGAATTTCCACATGCTGTTACCTGCTCTCACTATGCCCCCGCATCTGCCTGTACTCTAACACGCCTCCTCACATGTTAGCCTGTGGGGAAGAGCTGCGTGCTAGGCAAATCCGGTCAAACCACTGCTGGGCCCACCCTTCGGAGACACCCCTCATCGGAAAATCGCAGTCTTGAAAACCAAGTCTGGTCTGAACCGAACTATCTGATGATACAGAGTGCACAACCGTGTATCAAGCTCCCCTTGGACGGTGACGCATGTCTTTGGGCTCCTACTCTATCTTCAAACGCTTCAGTTCGCAGAGCGCTCAATCACAGTCAGGCTCTTGATATATTGGAGCACATTGCGAAGGAGCTTGTTTTCTGCGCCTCCAGACGATTCTGACTCCTCGCCGCCCCCTGGGGACTGAATTTAGGTCGGGCCTGTCCCCCTAAAGGGGGATTTGGGACGAAAAAATGCCCCCCCCCAAAATAAAAAATACTAAAAAAAATGGTCCCCGTATTATTGTTTGACTATTTTTGAACTTTCCCCCTGTAGAGGAGCAGGCCCGACTTACGACTGAGTCCGCCCAGCCTCCCTCGCCCCCTTCGCCTTCTGCCTGGGCGAGCGGGGCACTTCTCCCGCGGACGCGGCCCCGAAAGGGCTGTCAACAACTCCGCCCTTCTCCCCACCCGCCGCTCCACTGCGGGGCTTCGCAAATGGCGGCGCCGGTGGGCGCGGCTGGTTCGACGCCCGCGCCTTTTCTGGCGGCGCAGGCTTGTCCGGAAAACGTGCATCTGAAGAATAAAGAACCAACCGTTACTGACAAAAACCTTTGCCGTTGCCTCGAGACCTCTTTGACACATCCTCCCTGGTGTGCTTTTCCGCTTCCATGTGTTCCCAGGAATTGTTCAAACATTGCCTGATTTGTTTCGGACGGCATTCTGGGTACATCACATGCGCCATCTGAATGTGGTTTGGAAGCGAGATTGTGTGCATATTTTGCATATTGGTACGAATTCAATAATCAGCGCCTCGACGCAACACTGCTACGCATTACTGCCAGATCCCAATCAAACCCGTCAAGGCTCTGTTTGTCAAACAACTTCGCGCCATTGTCGGAATGGCTTTCGCTGCTGCGCACCTCGGCGAGCTGAAGCGAAACTTTGCGCAACAGTTGCTGTGAACGGAAATCCGCCGGCCCCCTTGTGGGGCCACCAGGCTGTAGGCGCGGGTTCGCAGTTTCCTGTACCAGTTGTAGCTTGTAGTTTCCAGTGTTACAGTTCTGCTTCTTGCTGGTTGCTGTAACTAGTTGACTTCTTGCTGGTTACTGTAACTAGTTGATTGACCGCGCGAGGGGGGGAGAGGCCCAAACAAGACTTTTAGCGTCCCCTGGGCGCGTTGTCTGAATTGCTGGGGGTGCTCGAAATCGACACCCCTCACGCAGATCCGCGGGGTCAGGGTCCAAAAACACATGGAATTTGCCACATTTCTGAAATTCGGTGCCACCCCTCACGCAGATCCGCGGGGTCAGGGTCCAAAAACACATGGGATTTGCCACATTTCTGAAATTCGGTGCCACCCCTCACGCAGATCCGCGGGGTCAGGGTCCAAAAACACAGGGGATTTGCCACATTTCTGAAATTCGGTGCCACCCCTCACGCAGATCCGCGGGGTCAGGGTCCAAAAACACAAGGGATTTGCTACATTTCTGAAATTCGGTGCCACCTCTCACGCAGATCCGCGGGGTCAGGGTCCAAAAACACATGGGATTTGCCACATTTCTGAAATTCGGTGCCACCCCTCACGCAGATCCGCGGGGTCAGGGTCCAAAAACACATGGGATTTGCCACATTTCTGAAATTCGGTGCCACCCCTCACGCAGATCCGCGGGGTCAGGGTCCAACAACACAGGGGATTTGCCACATTTCTGAAATTCGGTGCCACCCCTCACGCAGATCCGCGGGGTCAGGGTCCAAAAACACATGGGATTTGCCACATTTCTGAAATTCGGTGCCACCCCTCACGCACATCCATCGCAAGGCGTGGTAACCCAAACTGCGAGTACTCCCTCGGCCCTTTAATCCCAAGGTGTGGTAACCAAGCTCGTAAACCATACACGTCTTACCAATCGCCCTGTGTGGTAACCCCTCTTGTGATCAGTTGGTTTTGCCGATTGCGAATCGGCCTCGCATGAAGTTCCGATACTGCTGCACGACAGCGCCAAAGCCTCATGACTTAGCTCTTCCATGGCCCATTCTCCGAGAGAGGGGGCCGGCGGCAGGGGGCGAAGCCCTTACGGATATTTTACATCCACATGTCTCAATTTACCTCATCCGAGCCCGGTCGCAATCGACCCGCCAATGCTCGAATCTGACCGATCCCGGACGGCCACTTGGAAACCTAGCCCGTTAAAGATGCTTCGCGCAAGAAACCCTTCAACTGCTCCTGAAACGACGGAGCACATTTCCGCTTCACCTGAACTCTGCGCCAGTACTCTTAGCGTCCTGCTGTGCGCACGCGACAAACATTCACCCCAATGAACCACTCCTGCGCTCGCGGATGTCCGTGCAAGCCGGCATCCAGCCCAACCAGAATCGACATAAACAGTGATATCACGAGATGCGCTGGAATTCCCCAAGTGCAGGATGTCGTTCTACGCACACCGCAGGTGCCGAAACAAGTGTTTCAACGTGCGCATGTCGAACTGCGTTGGCTTCGCTAGCTGTCTCGCGCACCATTGCACTGCGCGTTGTATGTCTGCTGTTCCATTGATATGAATTTGCGTATTTCTACATCCCACCTTTATTGATGATGTTGCTCTTTGTTCGAGTGTTC